TTTTTTTGGTTTTTTTTTTTTTTTGGTTTTTTGAGGCAGGGTCTCACTATGTAGTTGAGACTGACCAGGAACTCACTATGTAGTTCAGGCTGGTCTCGAACCCACAGCAATCCTCCTGCCTCAGCCTCCCAAATGCTGGGATTATAGGCGTGCGCCACCACACCCGGCAATGTGGGGTTTTTAAAAAAATAAAATGGAGTACTATTCAGCCACAAAGAACAAAAACCTAGAGACATTTATAGCTAAATGGATGCATTTGAAGCCATACTGTTAAGTGAAATAAATAGGACACACATATGTAATACCAAACAGCTTCTCTGGTGTGAGAAACTAAGTGTTAATAAGGATCAAAATGTATAACTGATAATGTGAAATAGGAAGAAAAGGTCTAAATGGGTAGGGGAAGTGGGAGGGGTGGAGGAAAGGAAAGAAGGGAGAGGAAAATATGAGAAAAGGAAAAAATGCAAACAAAGTCTCTGTAAATAGGGAGGGGTGGGGCCGGGGATTTAGCTCAGTGGATCCTCAGCCCGCCTTGCAAGCACAAGGTCCGAAGTTTGATCCCTGGTACCAAAAAACAAACAAAAAAACAAAACAAACTAAAAATAGGGACAGGTGGAGGGGTTGAACAGACAGAAGGGGAATGGGAAAAAATAAGAACCAAAATACACCATGTAAGGGTACAAGTTCCCTGTGACTGACGTAACCGTACTGTATGCCTAAAATGTACCAATAAACCTAAGGAGAAGAGGAGGAGGGAGGAAGGAAGAAGGGGCTGGGGATTCAGGTGAGTGCTGCCATGCCTGCCTTGCGAGTGCAAGGTCCCGAGTTTGAACCCCAGCAATGGAATACGAAAAAAGAAAGAAACTGCATGTTTTGCATTCTCATCAGCAATAAATAAGTTCCTGCTGGTCCACAACCTCCCAACAATATCAAAAATATGAAATTTTTATGGCAAACCTGACACAACCTCTACATGCTATGACATTGTCCAGTTTGGATTTTTGCCATTCCAATAATTTTGTAGTGGTATCTCTTTGTCTTAAATTGCAAAATTCTTATATGATATAGTTTTTCATGTGCTTACTTGCCATCTGTATCTTCTCTAGTGAAGAGTCCAGATATTTCCTTTTTGTTTTTTGAGACAGGATCTCACTATATAGTTGAGACTGACCTGGAACTCACTATATAGCCCATCTCAAATTCACAGCAATCCTCCTGCCTCAGCCTCCCAAGTACTGGGATTACAGGCATGCGTCACCATGCCCGGCTTCCATTTTTAAATCAAGTATTGAATTTTAAGACTTCTTTGTATGTTTTGGATAACAGTCCTTAATCTGATATATGTTTCACAGAAATTTTCACCCAATCTATGTCTTGTGACTTGTCTTCTTGGATTCTTTAGTCAACTGAGTGTACGTGTGTGTGTATGCCCACGTGTGTGGCACTGGGGATCAAACCTAAGGCCTTGAACTTGCTAAGGAAGCAGTCACCACTGAGCTTCACCCAAGCCTCTAGAGTGAACTAATTTTTTTTTTTTAGTACTGGGAATCAAACTTGGGAACTTGTGCTTGCAAAGCAGGCAGTGGAACCCCTAAGCTAAATCCCTGGCCCTAGGGTGAACTAATTCTTGAGAAAAGTGCAAAAGTAATTCAGTAGAAAACAGATAAATTTTCCAACAAATGGTGTGAGGAACTGAATATTCATATGTGAAAAACTTTTTCAGTTCATACTTCCTGCCATATAAAAAACTCATACCACTTTATTCATTCAAACCACCGTCTTCCAATAATCTGCCAAGATGATAAACACAAAGGGAAAGAGGAGGGAACCCGGTATGTGTTCTCTAGGCCTTGGCCACATACACGCGACTCTACAGAAAGGGGGATACTGTCCAAAAAGGAATGCCACACCAATGTTACCACGGCAAGACCGGAAGAGTCTACAGTGTTACCAGCACGCTGATGGCACTGTTGTAAACAAGCACGTGAGGGGCAAGATACTGGCCGAGAGGATTAATGGGCGTATTGAGCAAATATTAATCACTCAGAGTCGAGATAGCTTCCTGCAACGTCAAGGAAAATGATCAGAAAAGATGGAAGCCAACGACAAGGGACCCGGCTCGGCTAAGCGCCAGCCCACCCCGCCCAGGGAAGTGCAGCCGTGAGAAACAGTGGGAAGGAGCCCAAGTGGCTGGAACCTGTTCCCTAAGGGTTCATGGCGTGAGCTGGGGATGCAGCTCTGCCCTGCAGCTCCTAATTAGTGGCTGAGTGCCCTAAGCCCGACTTAAAAATAAACATCCTGTGTTGTAAGGATGGTTTTCTTAATTGAACAGGTGTGTGGGGCCTTTACCTCAGAGAAACAGTATCTGGCGCACATTCCCATTATGCCCAGTTCATGGTGTCAGGTCTTTACTGTTCAGGGTTTCTCCTGCTGAAAGATGTGAGGTATCACGCAGATGTGCACCCAAATGGCCACACAGTTATGAAATATTTATATTGGCTTGAAAATCCTCTAAATCACCTTGGGGGCAATATGTATCAAAATAAATGGAAGTTACTATATGATATTTCAGTTCAATAAATTGTTTGAAGCACCCTAAAAAGAATTCAAATAGATCAGTAAGTATAAAATGTTAAGCCATTAAACTTTTAGCAGAAAACACAGGGCAGTGTTTGCCTAGCACGCACAAAGCTTTGGGTTTGATCACCCACACCTCCAAAATTAATTTTTAAAATAAGATAAAATGTTCATAATTTGGGGTTGGTCAAGATTCCTCAGTACAACACTAAATGTATGATCCATAAAGAAAAAAATTGATAAACTGGACTAACAATAAGCATCTCTCCAAGATAGTTAAAGAGAGTGAAAAGACATTTTTACAAATCATATTTACCTAACAAAGGACTTGAATTCAGAATATATAAGGAACTCCAAAATGCAGTAAAACATCCCAGCAACAGCTGGGCAAGTGACTGGACGAAGCAGATCAGGGATTATTCAGAGCGGGACCTCAGAGGTGGAACAGATACCAGTTGAGGGATCTGTGAGGGGTCTGGAGCCTTGGGGACGGTGACATGGGTGGACACCAACCAAACTAGGTCAAACATGCATTTGCTTCATGCACAGCACGTTAGGCCTAAGACAACCCCATAAAGCTGGTTTTTAGATGGTTACTGTCTTTCTCAAAAGTGTGTGAAGACTTTCCATTTGAGAGTAAACAGACTTAACAGCTGAATACAATGACAGAACTTCAAATGGTTCCTGGCTTAAATAGCTGGAGAGATCTGAGCACTCTGCCCTAGGATATTGCAAGGGCTGGGGGCAGAGCTCAGCGGTGCATGCCTGCCTAGCACCAGAGGAGAAAAGAGCACTTATGTCACAGCCTTGTTTTTAGGAGATGTGTGGTAAAGCATCTTCCTCAAGGATCCTTAAAGAGACTGGCTTCTGCAGCATGATTTTAGAGGGTTCGGCAAAATACAAATTGTGTGTGTGTGTGTGTGTGTGTGTGTGTGTGTGTGTACAGCTCTCCAGTGGAACACTTATCTGTAGACATGGCAAGTCATTAGTACCTCCATCTAGTCTTTGTGTATATTGTGGTCATTGTATGATTTTCAATTTTTTTATATGTTAAAATTTTTCATAATGAAAAGTTAGAAAAAAGTTAAAATATGCCGACCTGGAAGGTTTAAAGAAAAAAGTAAAAACAGAAAACACTGAATTTTGAAAGTACTTACTGTGTATTCTATCACTGAGCAAAGGCCCAGCAGGACTCGCACAGCGGGTGAGGGACAGCAGACCAGTGGAGGGTGCTGAGGTGGACCCATGGGGAGGGCGTGAGTGCGGCAGCTGTGGCTTTGTGGCTTTTTCACCCGTGCACATGTGCATGTGACACAGATAGGCCTCTGCGTCCTCGCTCTGTCCGAGAGGGTCCACACAGCAGACACCCTGATAGCCATGAGCCCACTCAGCACCCCAATCCTGGCTCTAAAGCAGCTCCCACCTAAGCATCCAGGGTCCCAGAGGACGCCTTGCTGAGCTGGATGGGCAGGAGGACGTGCTGAAAGACGAGGTCTCAGGGTCACAGCAGCTGGACAAGGCGCTCATTGGCAAGTCTTGTGAATGTGAACAACAAAAACTGAAGTCAAGCGGCAATCCCCACGTGCATACTGATGACAGGTAATATACCAATACAGGTAAATAATAAGCACTGGTAAGAACAAGGAAAAGAGAGGAGGAGCTTACTGTCCTGGCAAGGATGGTGGGGGATGAGGAAGCACTGCAGCCTGAGCCTGCTTTCCAGCCTCGTCATGGAAACCACCCAACAAGGAGCATCCAGGCTGCGGATCTAGCTCACTGGTTCTGCCAGCTGCCTCGCAAGCACGAGGTCCTGAGTTCGATCCCTGGTACCAAGAAAAAAAAAAAAGCATCCGCGGTGCGGTGCACTACGGAAGATGTGTGCAGCCGCCTACCTGCTACAGGGGACACACCCGAGAACAGCAGCTGGGGATGGCCACCCTGCAGTGCTGAACTGTTTTCAAAAGGCTCAGAAGCGTGATCTCTGTGTGGTGTGTACAGTGCGCTGTGTGTGCAGATGCACAGGTACAGTATGTGGTGCTTTGCAAAGCACGTGTGTGCGTGCACACAGCAGCAGCCCAATGCCTGGCAGGGCCACACTTTGTGCGTGGGTATTCAGGGGGCACAATAACCCCAAACTGCCCTTCACACAGCACTTGGGCAAGACAGTCTCCAGGGTGACACGTACCACAGGACACTGTATAAGAAAACATTTAAGTTTATTATCATTCCTTTTTTAATATGTTCTTTCGTCTAACTCCGTGTGGGGTGGAGACAATGCACCTGCAGCAGGGGCCCCAGCAGGTGCTGAGGTTCTGCATTCACTGGGCCACACTGACAGCTGCGTGCCTAGGACAGTCCTAGCCTGGCCCTCTGTCCCCTCTTAGACATGAACAGTGCCTGGTCTTGGTAATAAACAATCCTGTTGCCCACCTCGGTGACAGGTGGGAGGTGTGCGGGGTCACATGGCCCCTGGGAGTGGCTGTGAGTACCAACCCAACCGAGGCCTGAGAAGTCAAGATCTGAGAAGTCGCTCCAGGAGCACCAACTTCGTCTGCAGGTTGATGTCTAGTGGAGGCAGTTTGGTGAAGTTCAGACTCACACCAGTGGTGCCTGCGATGCTGGCCAGGACCCGGTGAGTGTCCCTGTAGAGGGCCAGGTGCTCGGGCACAGCTTCCATGAGGACATGGGTGTAGGCCAGCATGCCCACCGCACCTGGCAGGAGGTCTTCCCTCTTGTCGTACCTGGGGAGAGCAGGCCCAGCTGTGTGGGGCCACCTGTGCCCATTTGTGGGGGGTCCCCAAGGGTACCCACGTCACTGTGGACACATACCTCCAGGCGCCATTGACCTGCAGGAACCGTGACACCCCCGTCTGTGCGGCAGCCACATCGATGTGCAGAAGGACATCTAGGAAACACACAGGGTCAGTCCTGTGCCTAACTGGGGCACAGCTGTCCCCAGGCCACACCACCACTGACCTGTCCCAGGGGGCACCAGCTCATGCAGTCGCTGCATTGCCACACCACCAGGGTAGTTGAAGTGGGACACATAGAGGGACGTGGCTGTGTAGGCAGCATTCACCACCAGGTGTCCAATCACAAGCAGAGTCCCCACCTTGTATAGCCAGGACTTTTTATAATTATTCAGACTGAAAAACAATGGGCACATTCAATATAGAAAGGCAATGCAAGTATCTGACAGTATCCAGGAAATGGGCCACTAGGCACATGGCCCGCTTTCAACCTGGCCAAGTTAATCGTCAAATATACACATTTCTCAATAAAAGTGACTTAAAATACTACCTTAACAACTCTGAAGTTCCACCCAAGATGCTCATTTGAAATTTAAGTTTTCAAAGACTCCTAAGTCACAGCTCAGGTTGGAAGCCTGGCTACAGCACGCCCAGCTCACTGCCAGGGTCTAGTGGAAAAATTAAAATACAAGAGCAGATGGAGGGGCCCAGGACACAAGGCTGAGGGGAGTGAGAGGCTTCAACCTCACTGCCTCCCAGCATGGGACCTCAGGCCAGGTACTTCCTGCAGTTACTTCTCAGGACTGTATCCTCCGAGGGCCACCAGAACATCCCCTCCCAGCCCCAGAGGGTCCCTGTTCTGTCCTCCCCACTCCGCTCTGAGAACCGCTACACTGTATCATGCACTGTATCATCACGTCACCCGCCAGACTGTGCCAACCAGGATTCCTGGCCCAGGGGCCCCGGCCCAGCACCTGCTGGTGTCAGCCAAGGGTTTGTCTGCTCTGTCAGACGCAGAGCATATTTCAACTAGAACTGTGTCACCCAGGTGTAGCTTGGATCAGCCAAGTATCCATTGCTTGGTTTGTGCCTCTGTTTAAGGATTAACGTTATAAAAAGAGTTTTGAGGGATATATGCTGCCTGTTTTTACTGTCACCTGTGCCTGGTGTTGAGTTAAGGTGGCAGTTATGGCCCACGACACAGACTGGGTAGCCCACAAAGATGGGAATGTTTGCTCTCCGGCCCTTAATAGAAAAGCTCACCAGCAAAGAGCTCACTAGGCACAACCAGCTCCAGTCCTCTCCTAGAGCTAGCCCCCTTGTACCCTACCCAGGGAGGAACACAAACTTAAGGCGACACCCTGGAGTGAAGCCATCCTGAGCGCCCTCAGGGGTGTGGGAACTCCTGCTGGTCCTCGGGCGGGCGAGGGCGGAAGCCCTGAGCCCAGGAGCAGTGACCAAAAAGCTGGGACTGGGCCGCGGTTTGGCTCAGGGCTTCTGCAGCCCGCCTTGCAAGCACAATGGCCTGAGTTTGATCCCCAGTACTTAAAAAACGAAAACAAAACAAAACAAACGAAAAAGCTGGGACTGTGGAGCCGCTCTCTACTCAGAGTACAAACCTCCCCTAAGAGCTGCCTCAGAGATCCCAGAAACCCTCAGGACAGCTCACCCCCGTGGCAGACACCTCCTGGACATCTGCTCCCAACCACACTGCACTACACCTACAAGTCCCCTCCCTCCTGATCTGGACAAGCTTTGAGTCCAGCTCACACTGATCCTGGCCCTAGTGCAAGGTCCCAAATGGTACAGAATCTATCCAGCCACTCTGTCTCCCCCACCCCTGACCTCCCCAGGATGCAGGTTAGAGTTTACACCCTCCCTGGAGCTCTGAGCTGGCCTGAGACAGAAGGCAGCCAGGGTGAAAAAGCAAAGGCTGTGCTGAAGGCACATCGGATGGTGGAGGGCAGGCTTCTCAGAGGTGTCAGCCCCACGGGATGGGGCAGGAACCCGAGGGCAGGTGGGCACCCATTGCCTGGGCCACAGTGCCTCATCCAGGGGCTGCATCATGGTTCCCCATCCCTCCAGAACGAGGCCTCTATGCCTCTCAGGCACCCAGACACCTGGGCCTGGCCAGGCCCTGGAGCCTCTGCTCCGCCACTGTTCCCCCCAAGCTGGTCGGTCCTGGATATAGCTGAGGCTGACTGCCTTGGCCAGTGCAGGCTCCAGCTCCAGGGAGCCAGCAGCACTGGGAGCCACAGGGAAAGGCCAGCCCCCAGCAGCCCTACCCCAGCTTCCAGTGACCCCAAGCATGGCCCCACTCCCCGCCCCCCGAGAGCCAGCTGGGCCTCCTCGCCTCTCCTCTACTATGACCACCCATAGAGGCAGCTGTCCCAACCTGGGGTTTCCACCTGACTGGCCAGCCAACAGACACGGAACCTGAGTCCCAACTCCATGACCAGTGCCACCACCTGCAGCTCCTAGGTGGGGATCGGCCCTGGTTCTGGCAAGGTTCGGTGTGGACAGGAACAGACTGGCAGAGACCAGCCGGCGACCCACTCAAGGCAGCTGCCACGGCACAGGAGGAGCACAGGGCCCACACCACACTCCCATGTTCACCATAAACTCTGCCCATCATAGATGAGCAGAGACTGAAAACAAGCGTCAGGTTGGACGGCTCAGCGGTGAGCACTCCCCTAATGCATAAGGCCCTAGGTTCCATCCTCAGCTTCAAGAAAGAGAAAGAAAACACAAGTCTGTGCTGCCCCACAGAACACTCACATGTGGGAGCAACCCCTGGCGGCCACAACATTGAGCCCTGGGAAGGCATAAATGACAAAGCGCAGCTCCTTGTGCGGAAGGAGCGAGTACAGGGCGATGAAGCCCAGGGACGCTAGTGTCAGCGCGTGGGTCCTTCGGTCCATGGCACCCAGGGGCACAAAGAGGAAGCTGCAGCCCAGGCCGCGGGGCAGGGCTGAGTAGAAATACCACAGGGGTGGGGAGGTCTGCAGGGTGAGTTAAGGAGGGTCACTGTCCACAGGCGTCTCCACAGGGTCGGCCGCCCCAGGAGCAGCAGGAAGCGGTGAGGGTCCTGACCCTCCCGCACTCACCCTGCTCCCCGGGCCTCCCAGCTGGGAGGGAGACTGGAAGGATACACCCCAGTTGGAGCTCTTGTTCAGGATCGTGTTGTACCACAGCACCTTCCCTTCTGGCCACACGAGATACCCCCAGAAATAGGAGTCCACAGCAACCGTCAGTCCTGATGACAGAATGAAACCTTCCTCAGAACAGACACAGACACCTAGGAAGCCTAGGCTCGGACCCAAGTTCTGTGCCACGGGACAGCAGCCCCCATGAAGCAGCCTAAATGGCTCACACACTGAGCCACTTCACATACAGAGAGCTGACTACACTGGGAAAAGTGCTTCCTGAACGAGCCACCTGCTCCCCAGATTGCCCCTGCCTGGCCGCAGTTCCGAATGTTCTAGGGCCGTGGGTGGGGAGCAGCAACGGGAGCCGCTGCTGGAGTACAGCTGAGGCAGAGCCAGACTGAGACCTTTCACAAGTTAAAGTATTTAATCTTTTTTTTGTTTGTTTTTTTGAAACAGGGTCTCACTTTGTAGTTGAGACTGACCTGGAACTCACTATGTAGCCCAGGCTAGTCTTGAGCTCATAGTTATCCTCCTGCCTCAGCCTCCCGAGTGCTGGGATTACAGGCGTGCGCCACCGCACCTGGCTCTTAACCTTTAAAAAAAAAAAAGCCTAATTTGTCTTTGCCAAACAAGGCAAAACACAATCCACTTAGCACCAGCCAGGGATGCTGACTCACCTAGACAGAGGAGCCCCACAGGCACAGCGTGGCGGAGCAGGGTGGCTACTGACAGCCACCGGCGGAACAAGGGCAACAGCAGCAGGAGGCCCAACAGCAGGCTCAGCTCGGCCCGGAAGACAATGACGGCCAGTGCCGAGAGCCAGATGAAGCAGACCCACTGGTGCCGCAGCCAGGCCACCAAGGCTGGCAGCACTGCAAGAGAGCAGGCAGGGGTCAGTGGGCCCGGCCCGCCCAAGAGTACCGTGGGAGGAGGGGGTCCTTTCACTCAAGCTGCTGCCCACTTGAGGGCACGCAGGAACCCACCCTGAGCACAGAGACCCCAGGCTGGGCCCCAGGCAGCCCACACGTAGATGCCACAGGAAGATGCAAGCTCACACATGTGAGGCAGCATCTGTGGGCCCAGCCACCACTACGTACCCACCACCAGTGCCAGCACATTGGGCAGCGTCCGCGTGCAGTAGAACATCAGGTGAAACTGCGTGGCTGTCACCCAGCAGAACAGAGTGGCCACCGTGGCCCCAAACTGCCGTCTCACTTCGTTTTGTAATCTCCACAGTCCCCAGATCGTGCCCAGCCCGAGTGCTCCTCTGACTAAACAAAGAAACAGAGGCAGCACACTGACCCTGCAGTACACAGGACCGTAACTCAAAGTGCCCGGGACTTGCACAGGCCCCTGGGGGAGGGTACACCCAGACGCTGGGCACCCGCTGACCTCCTGCCCCAATACGGCGCCAGCCACCTACTGGGCTCCTGACACCTCCAACCACAGCAGGGCCTGCTAGTAACCCACGTGGTGTGACCGCCACCTCCCAACCTGCCCTTCCGAGGAGCGGTCTGTGTCTCTGGGATCCCCCACTTTCTAAAGCTCCCCCTGCAGGCTGGACAAAACAGCTGCGGGAACCAGTGTGGGTGGGCAGGGGAAGCCTGAAACAGTCTGTATCATAAGCAATAAAAACATAAAATGGGAAAATGATGACTGCTGACTAAAAACAAGCCCAGTTGTAGAACAGCATGCACAGAAATGTTCTCAGTGTAGTTTGAAAAAGTATGAGCCTCAAATGCAATTCGAGCAGAGGCATAGGCCATGGGGGTCCCCAGCACAGGCAGTGACCATCAGCAATGTATGATGCATTTCAAAATAATCCAAAAGGTCACAAGTTTCCCCACATACACTGGCTAGGCACAGTGGAACATATCTGTAATCTCAGCACTTGGGAGGCTGAGGCAGCGTGATCGCTGCTAAGTCTGAGACTCCAGCCTGGGCTACATATTGAGTTCAAGGCCAGCCTGAACTAAAAAGGGAGACCCTTTCTCAAAATCCCAAGGGGGAAAAAAAAAAGGAAAATAGGTTCCCCGCACACAGAAACGATAAACAACGGGGAGATGGAAGTGCTCATTTCCCGATGTGGTCATTACACTCTGTGTGTGTGCAATTATTATACCATACTCAAGTCCTAATATCGGGTCTCAACTAAGATTTGTAAGAAGCTCTCAGACAGACACGGAGAGGGCCAGAAGTTCTACAGGTAGGCCAGGGTACTGGTGTCCAGGACACAAGGCCTGCCTATGCGTCCCCAATGCAGGAATGCTGTCCCTAACAGCAAAGGCTCTGGGACCTAATGGGGAGCAGGGCCCCGCAGGAAGACACTAACCCCCGTGCACAGTGCTTGTGCTTGCACATCTGGGACTGACCACCAGACACAGGACAACGTGGGCCAAGGGTAAGGCACACGACCCAAAAGGAGAAGAAGCTCACCCAACAGACTGAAATCATGTGATACCACCACCATGCCCCTGTCATTTTGAAGACCCCCTTACCTATCAGCTGGGAATAAAACTTGGACACTTCCAGCAGCGAGAGCACATATACCACAGGGCTGGAGAACACTGCAAGCAACAGTGGCCCGAGGAATGTCCTGGGGACGACCCCAGGGAACTCATGGTGGTCATACTGCAAAGGAGGCAAGGACAGGAATGTCAGCAAAAGGCCTGGAGACAAACGAAGACCCTCTCCCAAGGGGCAGTGGCCTTACCTCATCCACGTTCAGCTGATGGAAGAGCAGATCATGTGTGGCCTGCAAATTGAAGCTCTCCTCCACCTTGGTGTAGGGACAGGCAATAAGGTGGACAGCAGCGACCATGACCAATAGCCCCAGCAGTGGCAATAGGGGCTGCTCACGAGACTTCTTCCCAGACATGAGAGCTGCACCTCCCAGAATAGCTGTCACACCACTAGCCTGAAACAAAGAGCAGGACTCCTATGTTTCAGAAGCCTCAAGTTACACCTGCGAGGTCTGGAAAAGGCCACAGTCCCCTACTACTCTCCTAACTTCTGTGATCCTGAACGCCCTCAGAGCAGAAAGATGAAAGAAGTCAGGGTGGAGAAGCCTGCAGTCCTGACCAGCTCTCGGATCTCCTGAAGGAGAGATGCCAGCTACAAAACCAGCTATACACCCAGGGAGAGTCATGAGACAGCCTGCCCTGGAGCAGGTCAATTTCAGGAGTCAGGCCAAACCCACCTGGCCTCCTGAATCGGCCACAGACATGGAGTGGGAGGGACACACCTGGAGGGCAAGAGAGGGACACAGGGTGCAGGGCAGCTACAAAGCCCTCACCCCCAGGGACAGCAGGGGGTATGGACATTGGAGAACTTCACCCGAGGGGCTTGGAGAGGCTGGCAGACTTTTCCAAGGTGAACCATGTGCTGCCGGAAGTAGCCACCCAAATACTAACAGGATGACCTCAGGGAGCCCTGGCAGGGAGCTTTGTGAGAACCTATGAGACCCAGAGGCAGCACACGGAAGACAGGATGGGGAGCAAATGCAACTGCATGTCTCCGAGCGTCCCAAGATAGGGTTGATTTTATTGTCAAAACCAGAAGGATCAGAAGCCAAGGGACAGAGCCACGGCACTGTCTACGAAAGCCACTTCATAATCAGACAGAGTTATTCCATCATCAGCAAGCAGCAGGCCAACAAAGTGGGGAACAGAGCATTCGAGGAGCAGAGATCCCACATGATGAGGGTGGGCAAAGGAACAAAGGGGCCTTAAGAATTTTAGGGTGACCAAAATGGAAAGCAGTTCCTGTTAGAAGAATGTAACTTTTTCTATTCCCGAATGTAAAAGAAAAAATTCTAACAGCCAGTTGGAAACGCTGTGCACCGGATGCAGGAAAGCACGACTCCATTTGTCCCCCTCTTTTAAGCTCCAGGCAGGCAGGGTGTCAGCCATTCTTTCCACCACCATCACCTCAGCACTGAGAACGAAGCTGGTCCTCCTTGAGGGACTAGCCCAGCGGAGGATGGAGGACATCCAGGGGCAGGGCTGACTGCCAGCGCACAGTAGCCACTCCGCAAACTAGCTGGAGAAGAAATTCAGTAAAACACTGGCGCAGAGGACGAGGAATGCAGAGGTCACAGAACATTCACATGAGATACTCTCTCCATTCCTCCCACTGTCACGAAAAAGGAAAAGGTACAGAAACAGAGAGCACTGATGCCACATCTCCAACCGGGCAAGGTAAATCCACGGTGTGGGGTGAATGCTCCCTACAGAAGCTACCAGAGAGAGTCATGCTTGCCTCTGAGTTTCAAAGGCACCAGAAGACCCAGCATCAAGCAAGCTCAACCCAGAGCATGACATGGCAAAGGCATAATTCCAGGGACCATCAAGCCTCCCCCAGGGGAGAGCTGGCGGGGAGACTGGCGCCCTGCTTGGCAGCTGCTCAGCAGCCACTGTTAATCTGAAGCAGCAGGTGCCTTCGGTGCATCCACAGATTCAAACGGGCTCAGGCCACGCTAACAACTGTGGCTTCTAGAGTGACGACATCTCAGACTAGAAAATGGCCTTCAAAGGCCCTTATTCCCCTATGAATTTGGATGCCAGGTCTCCACTAAAATTGGTCATCTCACGCTTCAAATTACTAGTCTCTCGGCTGGGAACAGAAAATAAATCTTGTGGTCAGCGAAAGACCATATAAAATTGAGTTATTTGTATTTTTTCCTTCTGGCTATTCTTCCCTACAACAACAACATGAATTATTTAAAGTCCAAATGACATTCACTTTATTTTTCCTCATTTAAACTAGCTGGATCAGTGAGTGCCCACCACCTCAGGTACACCTGGAATTGCAGATTCCAGGGCCCCTACAGACGCTGCACGATCGCAAATGCAGAGCTCGTACTCAGGTGCGCGTCGGTTCCCCGGTGATAGGTCCAACCCCCCGGGTGAAGAGCCCACCCCTCCAGGTGAGGAGCCCGGCGCCCAAGTGGGAAATCCAGCCCCCAGGTGAGGAACCAGGCGCTCCAGCGACAAGCGAGGTCCCAGGTAGAACTCAGCGCCCTGGTGAGGAGGCCAGCGGCCGTCACGCGCGGTAAGGCCCGAGAAACGCTGCCGCCAACACTGGCTCGGTGCCTCCGCCGCCCGCCCCAAGATCCCGGACCTCGTCCTCGCCCCTGATAGTCCAGTCGCCGCAGCGCGCCCTGACCTCTCCCAGCCCCGACGCCGTCAGTCAATTTGATCGCCCCGGATGCGCTCTGCCGGAAGCGAGACGACGGAAACGGGGCACGGAGATGAAGCCCTTGCCCAAATCTAACATGGCCGCCGCGGCAGAGCGCCCTCCTACCCCGAAGTACAGACGGGCGCCACGGACTGGGCATGCGAGGGGCGGGGCATGAGGATGGGTTTTGATCCCGAGCCGTTTCCCCTCCCGCGGGATGCTGACCCGGGGCCTCCCCATTGGTCGCCGCTCGTGGCGAGTTCTGATTGGGCCACATCAGGACGGGGCGGATCCCACCGACCAATGAGTTCATGCGGGCTGCGGGGTGGACGGGGATTCGGCAGCGCAGTCAAGTAGCCCCGGGAACGGCCGGCGCTGGCTGGGTGGGCGGAGGCGGAGCTGTCAGTCACACTCAGCCGCCGGTAGCCTGCCCGCCATGCGCCCCCCACCCCGCTCCTCGCTCTGTCTATTGCTTCTGCTGCTGTTTGTGCTGCCGCCGGCGCTCGGCACTGCCCGGAAGACAACACCCTGCCAACGGTGTCGGACGTTGGTGGACAAGTTCAACCAGGTGGGCCAGGGACGCAGTGCAAGGCTGGGGCCTCGGGGGCGACAAAGTTGGGGTCAATTGAGGACGGCGGGGGCTGCGTTTTGGGGTCTGGGACTCGGATGCGCGGCGAGCCGGTGTCACCTCCTCCACAGGGCATGACCAACACGGCCAAGAAGAACTTCGGCGGCGGCAACACGGCCTGGGAGGAAAAGACGCTGTCCAAGTATGAGTTCAGGTGGGTGCCTGAGGCCCCTGGCTTTGGGCTGGCCGCCGGAAATCCCGAGATCCTGTCCTGAGGACAGGCACACAGGGTCCCCTAGATGCGTCTCACCTGCCCCTGCTCCCCTGTGCTGCTGGCTTGGATTTAGTGAGCTGGCCCCTCACTGGCTTAGCAGCTTCCTCGGTGTCCCTAGGGCCAGTGCTCAACGCCCACACAGGGTGGCCCTTTGGAAAGGCCACGTGAAACACCCGTCCCATCCCTGGGCCTCCTGGCTGCCTCTTCCTCCTTTCCCCAGAGTCCAGCCCCCTTGACAGTCCTCAGGTTCCTGTTTGACGTGTGGATTCAGGTCCCAGTTTCCCTTAGTAAAGTGGGCTGAGTTCCTGTGGCTTCGATGTGTCTGTAAAGTCTTGGTGGGCTTTGTTTCAGTGAGATCCGGCTCCTGGAGATCATGGAGGGCTTGTGCGAGAGCAGTGACTTTGAGTGTAACCAGCTGCTGGAACAGCAGGAGGAGCACCTAGAGGCCTGGTGGCTGCAGCTGTGAGTGCAGGGCCTCACTGGCAGTTTTGCGATCACCTCTGAAAAGTTACAGAAACAATGGCACTCCACATCACTGTCCCATCTTAACTGCGCGAGGCTGCCACGCCAGGAAGCTAGCTAGAAGGGCCTGTGCCCCCATTCGCACAACCACAGAGCATGTGCAGGTGTCCCAGCCTGTGGGGTGGCTTTCCATGGCTTAGTTCCCACCACCAACCTTAGTCTAAAGATACCACTTGGAAAATTTCAGTCGGGCAATCCACAAGTTTTATATAACTTTTAATACAACAGTTCATTGTGTTTGTTGTTTTACTATCGGTTATTGTCTCACTGTGCCTAATTTGCAAGCTAAACTTTGTCACAGCTGTGACAAAGCATGCAGTTGTGTAGATAAAAGCATAGAGGGGCTTTCGGGATGGGTACTCCCTGGGGGTCTTGGAGATTATCCTGCAGGGATGCAGGGGCACAGCACATTTGTCACCTGAGATCTGACAGCAGTGTCACATTCTCAGGAAGAAGGAGTACCCGGACCTATTTGAGTGGTTCTGCGTGCAGACGCTGGAAGTATGCTGTTCTCCAGGGACCTACGGGCCAGACTGTCATGGTGAGATTTTTCCTTGGGCAGATCTCAAGTCTTTGTTCTTCTTATTCTTCAGTGATTCCCAGAGGTTTGAATGCACAGAGGGTACCTGAGCCACATTAGCTTCTGGGGTCCTGCCTCTTCCATAAAACAGGCAAGAGATCCCATCCCTGGTGCTGTGGGACACCTGTACCCAGGACTGTAGATGTCCTCTGACTGGATTTTGAAGGAGTTTCTCCCTGGGCTGGAGAACTGAGGTCGAGTTTCAACACACATTCAACATGAAGGTCACACAGGAACCCTCCTGTGTGGCACATACTCACTTGGAGAGGGCTTGGAATGGGTTGGAGAAGCCACTATTGGCCAGGCTGGGACAAGTGACAGAAGTTTCAAGTTCAGCACCTGTGCGGGTTGTCCTACCTTCCTTTTCCTCTTTCTGCAGCTGTTTGGTCCCCCACACCAGATGCATAAGTGTCCTTTCCCCAGCTTTGAGTGAGACTGCCCAAATCTACACTTAGTGGTTAAGTTGGGAGCCTCGGCTCACTCTGATGCAGGTGACCCCACCTTGGCTCTGCAGGCCCTGAAAGCCACTGTCCCCTGATGCCCTAATTTCTTTAGTAGGGTGATTTCAGGGCTTGGATCTTAGGGAGAGGCCCAAACAGCTGGCCACCCAGGCATTCCTTGAGCACAGGTTTGTGCCCCTACAGCATGCCAAGGTGGATCCAAGAGGCCCTGCAGCGGGAACGGCCACTGCAACGGAGATGGCACCAGACAGGGGGATGGGTCCTGCCAGTGTCACACAGGCTACAAGGGGACGCTGTGCACTGACTGCATAGATGGCTACTTCCAGTCACTGAAGACCGAAACCCACAGCACCTGCACAGGTAGGGGTGACCCTGGGTTGAGCTGGGCTGCATAGGTGGTAGCAGGGCACCTGTTGACTCTCGGCCCAGGTTCCCAGGAACCATAGAGGCCTAAAGGTGTGGCCCTCCCAAGACATCCCTGAACAGCCAGTCCCAGAGGAAACTACACGCCCCTTCCAGGAAGGACTAAGAGCTCAGCCCACTGAGTGGCAAGTTCTGTCCCCCTGCGCTAGCTACCTGGGTTCTGGGACCTAGCACCCGTGTGGGCTGTGCTCCATGGACTCCTGACTAGAGCTTGCTGTCCCCACGGGATGGATGCTCCCTTGAGGGCCCTGCTGAGTGTCCGTGGGACAGGCAGAGGCAGGGATGAGCCACTCAGATGAGGCGTAGAGGAGCAGAGGTGTGCTGAGCTGTTAGGAGACACATGGGAATAAGAAGGCCCCTTGGGGGACCACTCCTGACCTGGAGCCTGGTCTCCACACATCCCTCTCCTGAGAAAGCTGTCCTGCTGATGGGATGCCACTGCTGCTGCTCATGCTATCAGAGCTGCGCACAGCGCACCCACCTTCATGCCCAGTGGCTCACCAAGAAGTTGTGTGTGTGGACTTACTGCTTGGAGCTCTGTCTGCCCCGTGGCTCTACAGTCAGGCCAGGCCCCTCTCCAGATCCTGTTCCTGCTCCGTCCTGCCTCTCAGCAGTAGGTGTGGCGTATTTGCACATGGGGGTCAGTGATGGGAACGAGTCCCAGATAGTGTGGGCCCCAGGGTCTGGGGCGCCTTCTCCAGGCCGTCAGAACTCCTGGAGTCCTGTGCAAGCTGAGCGTTTCATGACTCACAGCGCAAAGCCCCGGGCGGTTGTTCTCCTGAGCCTGTAAATGTTCTCAGCGCAGAATACACTTCTCTGCTGAGCTGATCTTGCTATTCTCTCCTGTTCTCATGTTTTACTCCCCTGCTGAACTTGAGTTCCTACCATGAGCTCTCCTCTGCGTGGGTACCTGACAAGGGACCCACATACCCTAAGGATGTCCCTAATACAGCCATCTTTGCCTTCCAGCCTGTGATGAGTCCTGCAAGACATGCTTGGGTCCAACCAACAGGGACTGTAGCAAGTGTGAAGCCGGCTGGGCTCGCATAGAGGACGCCTGTGTGGGTGAGGGGCACTGGCTGTGGAAAGGCAATTCTCGTGTTGTCAAGCATCCCTGTGGGTGTGGCTACTCTGACTCCTGCCTTCCTGCGGTTCTGGGTTGCTCTGGGCCTGGCACTGGGCATTCAGCCTGGAAGAGGCATCGCCGCCTAACTGGGCCAGCTCTGGGGTCCACATTGCGATGCAGGGTTGCATAGGCCAAGCCATGGCCTTGTTGTTTGCTGCATTCCTTGCTCATATCCCACCCCCATGGCCGCCACCTGCTTCTGTGGTGTCTGTCACTGTGCTCACACTGCCTGAGCAAGGGAGCTGCAAACCTAGTCCTGTCCACCTCGCACAGTCCAGTTGCCCAGCAGTGGGCTGACCTCTTCCTCTTATGGGTGTGGGTTTTGGTTTCACACCTCAGCAGCTCTTTGGCTTTAGGCAAAGTAGGTGCTTGGGCCCCATCAGGTTTCACAGCTTGAGTCAGGCAGGTGAGGCCTGGGGTGGGTGCTCACATGCTGGCCGTCCATCCCATTTATCCCCACCCTGCCCAGGGAGGCCTCAGAGGACAGGAGCTGCCTCCTCTGCCCTTCTGGGGCTGGTCTTGAGGGGGTCCCCTCCACCAGCTAGGCTCCACGCTGCTGTGCTGTTCTGTTCCAGATGTGGACGAGTGTGCGGCGGACACGCCTCCCTGCAATGACACCCAGTACTGTGAGAACGTTGCTGGCTCCTACACCTGTGAAGGTAGCCTGGGTGCAGGGACATTAGGGCGCTCATCCCCTCTGGGCCCAGCCAGACCTTTCTCTTCGTATGACTTTTTGGCATAACTTCTGAACTGTTTTTAAAACATTGAACGTGGCAAACATAGTATGTACTAGTTGCAGAAAAATCTTTGTATTTGACACTGGTGAGTGTGGAACATGTCAGTCTCTATTGGACATTTAATCCATAGCAGTTTTCCCAGCCTGTTAAACTTGCAGTATCCTCCTAGGTAAAACTCTACCTTTTGAATTGCCCAGCCCAGGGAACTTGCATTGGAGGGTCACATTGTCCCCTGGAAGGTTGTACCATTTCAGAGTCGCAGCGGCAGGGACATCAGTGCCAGCAGCAATGTCCTTGACAGTGAGGGGACACAGGAGCCTCGTGAGAGTTCCCACGGGGTTACTCTTATGAAGCTCCCAGGGAACAAGCCGGCCCTGTCAGAAGCCAGAGCCAAGTTCCATTTCCGAGGGTTCTCCCAAGTGTGTCTCCTGCCGTCCGCAGTAACTCTGCTCTGGCAGCACAGCTAGGGCAGAGACAGGTGATTCTTAGGAAGTCGCTGTGGTGACTCACTAGGAGAAAACCCAAATTCCCACCCAGGAGTGTAGTGTCAGACACCGACACGAGGACATGGCAGGCTGACATCACCTCCCCTCTTTGTTTCCAGAATGTGATTCCACCTGTGTGGGGTGCACAGGAAAAGGCCCAGCAAAGTGCAAAGAGTGTGTCCCAGGCTACACAAAGGACAGTGGGCAGTGTGCAGGTAGGGGGTCCTGGGGGTTGGAAGACGCAGCCTGGGTCTCAGGATGGTGATGTGGGGCCCAGCTCCGCAAGTGTCGGTGGAGAAGCCATGTGTGCCTAAGCCTCCTGGACCCTGTCAGCTCTGGGACTTCACCCCTCTGCCAGGCACCTCCACACAGTGTCTGAGTACTGCTGAGCACACACTGGGCTCCCTACTGCAGAGAGCCCGGCCTTGGGCTTGGGGTGAGGTCCCCAGTCCCTTCTGACCTCTGCCCCATCTCTGCCTTGTCATCTGCACTTTCTTATTTGGATGGATTCCAGGTGAACAAGTTTCAGTCAGTGGTGTATGTCTGCCGAATGAAATAAGCTCTTGAAATGGGTATTTTACCTCAGATATAGATGAATGCTCACTAGCAGAAAAACCATGTACGAGGAAGGACGAAAACTGCTACAACACCCCAGGGAGCTTTGTCTGTGTGTGTCCTGACGGCTTCAAGGAGACAGAAGACACGTGTGTACCGCCAGCTGAGGGTGGTGAGTGTGCAGCTGGGGGCAGGGGCCTGGTGGGAGGATTCCCAGACATGGCCATGTGGCTTGGGGACTCCCAAGCAAGGGGAGTTACAAACAGCCTGGGTCTCAGGATGGTGATGTGGGGCCCTGGCTCCCTGGGCTGCAACTGAAGGAGCCCTGCACGGACAGGAGCATGGGCAACGGACGGGGAGCTGGTAGGAGACGAGCGGCCTCACTGAGGGTCTGTGTCAGCCAGTGAGACCGGGCTGGGGTCCAAGGGCTGGCTCCTCGAAGCTGTGAGGCGGGTCTGTCATGGCCGTTTCCTGCCTGTTCTCAGGTGGTCTTCGGGCATGGATCTGTCCCTGTCCAAACTTCCCCTTCCCGTGAGAACAACACCAGGCCTCAGTCCAGGGCCCACCCTAGATACTCAAGAGACCCAGTTTCCAAACAGCGCCAGTCAGTGTTGGGGTTAGGACTTTAGCCCCTTGGGTGACAGGAGAGCCCGTGACGGTCTCCTGGTTCAAAGTGCTCACAGCCAAGTCTTGCAGTGTAAAATGTGGCTCCACACCTAGGAGTACACAGAGCAAGACTTCGGCACTTGTTACCTGGTGCCTCCTTGGCCACAGCAGTCACAGCTCCGCACCTCAGCAGGGCTCAACCTTTGGTCAGGAGATCATCCCATACCACAGCCATGCATGGCTCTGAAAGGTCTGGTCATCCAGTAGGCAGGCCAGGCTGTGGGGACACAGTCCCCAGGCCGTGGCCAGCTAGTGGTCAGGACAGGAGCCCCTGTGTCCCTCGTGATGGCCCCTGTTAAAGCCTAGTGTCTCACTCTGTGACCGGTATCTCCTGACAGAAGCCACAGGAGAAAACCCGACACAGCCACCCCCGCATGAGGACTTGTGACTACACCCAGGGCCAGAAGCCAAACCCACCCTTTAAATTATTCAGAAAGGCGTCGTGCAGGAGCAGGAGCCCTGTGGACATTGCCCCCATTTCTCCAGGTGGATGGCTGGAGGGAGCAGCTGCTGCTTTAAAAAGTTGCATTTCTTGGTTGTTGTTAAACGGATTCATATATTTTGATATACTGTTCTTTGTAATAAAATGGACCATTGAAGGTAGGAATAAAATGTGTGGCTTTGTGTCATTGAAATCATGTAGACCTGCTGGGCATAGTGGTGCACACCTGAGATCCCAGCTTCTCAGGAGCTAAGTCAGGAGGACTGTAAGTCCAAGGCGAGCCTGAGCAATTCACTGAACCCTATCTCAACATGAAGCAAAAAGAACCAGGCAGTAGCTGAGTGGAGCACTTAGTCCAGCCTAGGTAAGGCCCTGGGTCAATTACCACCGCAATAAAGAAAAGCATCAGCCTCTGACACCATGCAGTCCACCTGTCCTAGAGCTGCAGAGGTCACCACTGCCCCTGCACAGGGCCTGTAGTCCTGGTGTTCCTGCTGCCCCTCCCTAAGCTGTCACACCGTGACGAGTGGGCTTGGGGACTGCCGTGGCCAGATGTGTCCTCACCGCCCTGTGTGGGGCTTGGACTCTGCCAGGGTGCTTGGACAGAGCTCTCTGGAGGTAGGAAGTTGGGACCCAGGGGTCCCCTCCTTTTGTCCTTCCCACCGCCAGGAGGCACTGCAGCCTCAGGGCCAGAGCCAGGAGCCAGCGTCATGGGAGGATCCTCCAGGCCTTTCTCCTTTGCATGGCAATCATCGACATGTGTTACAGTAACGAAGAGTCAACTGATGGGCTGGCCTGTGGGCTTCTACCACTGTGCTGTCCGGGGCCACATGGGAGGATGGGAGGATGGACATCTCAGACGTGGAGGGAAAAGAGCACAAACCAAGAAGTCAGGGAGAAGCAGGCTACAGGGTTGAGCTCCCAGCACCTGCCTGGCCCGGTATGACAGGCCTTGCCCTGCTCTGGCTCCCAAGACTTTGGCTACCACCGAGAGCACCGGGCTCTACCTGGTCTGGCCCCAGAACCCTGGTCCTGACCTCCCAGGTCCCCTCCAGCTGCCCAGCTTGTCCTTGTGAAGCTTGCACGAAGGGTGACCATGCATCCAGCTGTCCTGGCATGATGACCTGCACTGTGCAGGCCAGGCCTCTGGGGCCCTGGATTGGAGCCCCTGCAGGCAGGATGTGGCCTCATGGCCCCAGGGGGAATGGCGGCTCCAGCCTAAGGGGCCAACAGGCACAGCCATACCCACTCCGCGGGCTGTGTCTCCCTGACTTCTCTGGGTCCACCGTCCATCTCCCTGCCCAGCCTGCTGTCTCCTCTGTCCAGCTCCAGGGGACTTAGGACATGGGTGGGTGGGGACCTGCGTGGGGTGCAGAAATGGTCAGCAAGCTGACACTCATGCTGTGTGGCCGGGGGGGATTGAGGTCAGAGCACGGCGTGGTGACGTGAAAACGTCATGGGGTTAAGGGGGTGGTGAGGGGGTACAGGCTGAGCCCCTGGGCCTCAGGTGACAGATGAGCCTGCGGTTGGGGACGTCCGGGACTCAGGATGGCACGTGGGGTGCATAGTTGTTGGAGGAGGAGCAAGTCTGAGAACTGGGACAGCCAGGGTCCTTGGGGTGGGGTGGGGTGAAGATAGCAAGAAAGCCAGGAGGTGGGGAGGAAGGGGGCCCACCGGGCACACCGAGTGCAGGGACAGTAGCCAGACCTCCACCTGGGGCTCAGGAGGGAACCAGGGGCTCCAGTGCTGGCAGGCATTGTCCAGACCAAGGAGGTGGCCTCAGCAGAACCCGCAGCCTGCCGACCCTGGAACCCAGAGTCCTCCAGGTGGCGCTGTGTCCCCATGCTAGGACTGTGGTCTGAGGGTACAGGTGGGGTGTAAGCATCTGGGCCTCCAGCAGGGCCTGGAAACAGGGTCCCCATGCCAGCGGAGGCCCAGTGGCACCTGCCTCCTGTCCCCCTCTGCTTCCTCCCCTGTAAACAAGAGGGTGTGCCCTGGAGTACCCAGGGCCCAAGGGCCCACACCTGGCACCTGGAAGTAGACAGGATGTGGACAGGGAACGAGGGATGACAGCCCCAGTGGGACCCTGCCAGGCAGAGCAAAAGGCAGCTGGATGTGTCTGGAGTGTGGGACGTGGGCCTGGGAGCTTTCAGGGCTGGGGCCACACCAGCGTGCCACCTCCTGGGGACCATGGGCCCAGAGTAACAGCAACCCTGCCCACTGGGGGCTCCACATGCATCTGTCTGCCCCTTGGTGCCATTCCCTGGGCCTGGACCTAAGGGCACACAGCCAGGAGGTGGCATTGCAGGACTACCCTAACAGACCTTCAGCAGGACTGTGAGTCATTCTGTTCTGCCAAGAGCCACTCTGGTGCCCCCTGCTGTGGGCCAGGTCCCAGGGGAGCACATCCTGTGACCAAGTGAGGAGGGAGCCTTGGATTTGGCCTCCCCCCGCCCAGCCTCTGCGACCTGAGTCCAGTCAGGGACTCTTTGCCATGACCCTTGGGTGGACCTCTGAGGCTGGGGCTTCCAAATGTGCCAGGGTCACTGCTTTCCCCTGTCCTGGCTTGGAGTGGGGTCCAGTGCTGCATGATGGGAGCTGCAGGATGGGGTGTTCTGTGAATCATCAGATCTCAGCAGCAATGGGTATGAAGCCTGGGGACACTGATTGCCCAGCAGGTCGGGCCAAGGGTACTGCTCAGCCCACCCCAGCCAAGCCCCAGCCTTGGGCAGAACGGTGGGCTGGGCAGTGGCCAGGCTCCCTGCGGGGTATGCTGAGCACACCCTGAAGACCCTAGGGCAGCCTCGCCATCCCGCAGGTATACAGCCCCTGCCAGGCCATGAGCCAGCTAGATCCTCAGGGGTCCGATGGAGCCACCTACAAACATTCTGTCTCCCTGGCTGGCTCGTCTTTTCCACATAGGTACGTCCTGATGGGTATTACATGGGATTTAAGATGTCCACATGGGCAGGGTGTAGTGGCACTAGCCTATAATCCCAGCTACTCAGGAGGTTGAGGCAAAAGGATTGTAAATTTGAGACCAGCCTGGAAAACTAAGCAAGACCCTGTCTCCAAATAAAATAAATACAGTAAATCCTGACTTAAAAACACTCAAGTCTCAAACTTTCACAGGTGTTCTGTATAAGACTCATTTTATCAACTTACAAACAAATCTGACTTACAAACAATTCTCCCAGAACAGAACTTGTTCATAACTCAGGGACTTACTGTAAATTGGCTGGGAATGTATCTTACTACACCCTGGGTTCAATCTCCAGTACTGAAAAACAAAATGTTCACCCCTGTACTCATCCTTCTGTCTTACAGCCTCTCCCAGGGCCCCCATGTCCCTGTATCTCCATCTTTCTTCCCTACATCCTGACATCCAGCGGCCCAAACATTCACTTCTCTTCCACAGGGATAACCAGGCTGCTAGAGGTGCTGCCATTTTCCACACCCGTCACAGCACTGACCACAGCTGGCTGGTGCCACACTACAGCATCCCCAGGCAGTGCCTTTCCCAGGCAACGACTTTCCCTGAGCTTGCTGAACTTTTGACAGGTGGGTCCAAAGGGCTGGAGCCTGTGTCAGTCCAGGCACAAAGCCCTAGTGATCTCTCTAGGCCCAACACTCAGCCTCACTCCACGGCCCCCTGGTGGTGAGTCCTCCAGGACCACGTTTCCTACCTGACTTTCAACCTGCAGGATTGTAGCCAGGGACGAAGCCCTCTGCAAATGTGAGCCAAAATAAATCTCTACTCGCAGCTGTGGATGTCAGGTATTTTGTCCCAGCAATGAGAAGAGTGACTAAGACACCATTGCTCGGGGGTCCTGGCCTGAGCACAGGGTACTGACGCAGGCACCTGCATGGTATGGTGTCTGGGACAGCACTGCACTGAGTGAGAGGGGCCACAGCCCTGGACCACAGACTGGACGTGAGTCAGGGTTCCAAGCTCAGGGTGGGAGGGGGCACCTTCCCACGCACCTGGAGCTGGGAATGCCACTGTGGTGGATGCCACATCTGACTGTAACTGGGCTGGTGTCTGCTCTGCCATCCCCAGGTTGCTACCTGCCTTCCATAGTGGTCTGACTGCAGGATGAGCAGGATGCAAGGGGGCCCCATCCTGGCTCCCCCAGAACTTCACACGTGCAGCTTCTTCCTAGGTGAGGACAGTGGTAGAAGCCTGCACTGGACTTGCCGATAGGAGGGCTATGAACAGAACCCGCCATCGGGCCTGCTGCCCACTCTGCTGGGACTAGGAGGTCACCCAGGTGGGTGGCACTGGCCAGATTCTGTCTCCTGCCCTATGAGCCCCCACGGGGAACCACAATGTAAGCGTCAGCTGAGCCCTGTGCCTGGGGCCCTCCACGTGCTGATGAGTAGTGTCAGCAAGAGTCATATGCGTGCCGGTGTCCCTTCTGCCATGCCACAGACAGCTCTCCCATGGGACTTGTCTCAGAGTAAACTCTTTCTTGCAGGGGCTCCTCTCTAGTGTGAGGGCTCTGGGTCTGGACCCCTGCTTAGTCTAGAAGCCGGCCAGAGTGATGTATGTCTCTGTACACGCGACCACCCTGGCCTTCTGGTCATGCAACCTCAACACCCCCTACCAGTTGGGCTTCCCGGTTGGCTGTCCATCCGCCCAGGGAACACTTTGTCCGGTTAACCTTGCCCACCGCCTGCAGGCGCAGGGCCCAGGCCAGCCACCAAGAATCAGAAGCCGGCACCTGTGCCACCACCCCCATCGCTGTCAATGAGGCTGTCAGTCCCTTGCCAGGAGCTTCCTGATCCAGGCAGGCCCCTGCCTGAGCCTTGGGTTCTCCACACAGAGGTGCCAGCTAGTCCCAGTATATCATGCATATGTCCGGCATGGCCAGTGGCCATTTCCTCTTGGGGATTACACCCTGCACCTCAGGAGAGGACTGTGATCAACTAGCTCCCCACATCCTGCCTGGTCACGCTGCTGGGTCCTGAGGCTCTGAGAAGGATCCCCTTGTCCCATCCCAGTCCCACATGTCCCTGCCAGGACAGGCTGGGCCTTGCTCCTCGCTGTGGATAGGGTGTGCAGAGGTTGGGAAGAGGCCCCGAGGAGCTGGGGAGGAGGCTAGCCTTCAAGGAACCCCGCCGACTCAGAGCAGGGTCAAGGTTGAGCGCCCCCTTTG